TTCTACTGTAAATATGCTTTTATTTCTGATGTGCTTTATTTTTTTTGTAAAATGTGGCTTATGTAAATTTATGATGATAATTAGAATATTTTAAAGATGAGATTCTCACATACAGACGTCTACTCCTAGCTATTTTAAATTCTAAATGCATGTCTTCGATTCTTACACCAATTCTCAAGTGTGTTTTTCCCCCACACCACCAAGCCATTAACCCAATTCTGACACCATCCCCCGGGAGCTAGCGTCAGACCCCACAGGTTAAGGGCTCCGTCCCCCAAGACTGCCCCCCCACTTCAGATGCCAAGTGCAGTCCAGGCTGCCACCTGTGCTTCTGGTCAACCAGCTAGAGATAGGAGGTTCTAATAACACCCTCCTTCGGTACGATTGCTTTGCCAGAATGGCTCACAGAACTCTAACACTTAACTTCCTAGATCACTGGTTTATTATAAAAGGATATTGCTCAGGAACGCCTGATGGAAGACATACACAGGGCAAGGTAGGTGGGAAGGGGTATGGAGATTCCATGCTCTTGGGGTGCACTACTCTCCCCGAATCCCCATGTGCCCTCCAATCCAGAAGCTCCTTGAATCCCATTCTTTGGGATTTTATGGGGGCTTCTTTACATGGGCATGAGTGACTACGTCATGGGTTATTAGTAGTTAGTTCAGCGTCCCCCCACCTTTCCCGCCCACCAAGTCAACGCAATGGAACTGAAAGTCCTATCCTCTCATACAGGGTTGGTTCTACTGGCCATCCTTAGATTATCTAGAGGCATTCCAAAGTCATCTCATTAAGACAAGGAAAGACACCTCTATTGCTCTTTCCACTTGGGAAATTCCAAGGGTTTTAGGAGCTCCGTGCATGAATGAGATTGAAGACCAAATATCACAAGGCCTATATGGTATGAGAATTCAATATATCATTTTGAGAAAGAGCAAAATGTCTATGAAACTTAACCTAATTTTAAGTTTTATCATTTTTCAAAGTGATAGTAAATCCACCTTAGATGTGCATATTATTTTAAAAAAAACCAGAAAATATTAGTAGGGCTTAAATATAAAATACTAATTCATTAATATGACTATATTAGTCATATTATAGATCATTTTGTTTATTAAAAACAACATCGCCCTTATATCCTGTCTCATTATTGGGATCTGCTACAAGTTACTGCTACCCAAGCTTAGGATGAACTCTAGAATCAAGCCTACTTCCTTCTGCTGCCCCAGTACTCCTAATGTGGTGGAGACCAAGGTCATCTCTGGGTTGATGAACTCAGGGGACCAGGGCCCCCTCAAGGGGGAAGCAGGCAGCCCTCTCTTGTGCTGAAAGCTGCCCTTTCCTCCAGGGCCCACTTCCAATCAGCTCATCTCCCAGCTCCTCTCCAGAACCACTCCAGGGGCAGAAGAACACCATGAAGCCCATGACGAGACGGTAGTGAGTTCATGACCCTGGGTTGATTGTGCTCAAAGCAAGAACAGTTACAGTCCCCACCAGCACAGCCAAACTTCTGTCCTCATCGAGGACATTATTCTCAAAATTAGGAGGGATTTCCTTTTTAAAAGCCAGGAAGCTTGGATCTGCCTAATTCTCCAAGGGACAGAGCAAGCCTACTTCCTGAGTGTGCACCGGGAGCAGCTCACCTCCATTCCCCTCTGAGCCTGAGGTTCTCACATGCCCGGGGTTGGTTAATTCCATACAACGCGATGGTGGCTGTGGCTCCTACTAGGACAGGAGGACCACAAGCCCTCTTGCCAACTCAGAAGTGGCGCCTTTCAGCATGACCCTCCCTCTGTGCGACACCGCCATCCGGACAGGACTTTCTATAGCTCAGCATCAAGTTTTCAATCATTTGAGGAAGGACTCTGTAAGGAGGCATCCCAGCCTTTCTCCAGAGAGAGAGATCAATGAGCTGTGGAGACATGTTGGCCAGGGGCTCGTTCTCTGATCTGGATATAGAGTGTGACACGCAGGTGGCAGCCCAACTTCGATCCCTACAGGAAGGGGCACACCGGGTGATCAATGGGAAGTGGAAGACGGCCAGGCCCGTGGGGGACAAGACAGAGACAGGGCTGATGGATTATTTAGAGACTGTTTAACATTACTCGGCAAGATGAAAGGACAGGTGACGTTGATGAAATAAAGTTTTCAAACTCAGAAAGACACTCAGGGTATCAGGGATCCTAAGGGTTTTGTGACAGTCTCTGACTCAGGAAACCAAAGCAAAATGAATCAAAATGGAATGAAGTTAAATAACATAAAAATGCCCAGAGTCTTCATAAAAGATAACATTCAAAAAGAGAGAGCAGACAGACCTCTGGTGTATCTACATATCAATAATGTTAGAGCTGTAACTAGAAAGCCCTAATTGCAAAACAATGTCTTACATCATTTTAGAGAATTATATTAGGCATAATGGGATTTTCTTTTTTGGCTCTGCAATGTCTTTTGACTTTTTAAAAAAATGCAAAATCATAGCTCATAAAACTCTAAGAGCATTAGAATTGTAAGTGATTTTATAGTAGACATATGAGAGATATTATGTACATAATATTTAAATGATGATGACAACAATGATAATAATTTAAAGGTCATTTTATTTTATTTATTTCAAAATAGATTTTTTATTGATTTCAGAGAGAAAGGGAGAGGGATAGAGAGATAGAAGCATCAATAATGAGAGAGAATCTTTGATTGGCTGCCTCCTGCACACCCCACACTAAGAATCAAGCCCACAAGCTGGGCATGTGCCCTGACCTGGAATTGAACCGTGACCTCCTGGTTCATAGGTCAATGCTCAACCACTTAGCCACACTGGCCGGGCTAAAAATCCTTTTAAGGAGAAACAAATTGTAAGCAATAGTTTTCCACATAAACCAAAGAACCCAAGCTACGAGATACTAATTTGCCCTGATGGTGGTCCATTCTTGGCTCCCTCTACACACCCCCACCCTCCACTACACATACATACTCAGCACATGCTCTCACAAGTTGATTCCTTTTAAAATTGAGTTTGATGCCTTATCACAGTCGCTTCTAAATCTTAACCAGACTTCAGGGGGCAAAACCAAGTGAGCTAATTGTTCTCTGTCAAATACAATGACTACCAACATGTCTCAGTCAAATGTTTGCCATTACCTGGGATCCCAATTTTTGTTTTAAAGAAGAAATATTTCTTTTTAAAAATATATATATTTTTATTGATTTCAGAGAGGAAGGAAGAGGGAGAGAGAGAGGGAAACATCAATGATGAGAGAGAATCATGGATCGGCTGCCTCCTGCCCGCCCCCGACGGGGGATCGAGCCCACAACCTGGGCACGTGCTCTTGACCAGAATCAAACCTGGGACCCTTCAGTCCACAGGTGGATGCTCTACCCACTGAGCCACACTGGCTAGGGCCCAAATTTTTAAGCGTGGAAAAAACATTTTCCGTTTCTCTGAAGCTTCACTCTCATTAGTGGGAGCAGGGATGCCGTCTGGGAGTGGAGTCTCGAAGCAGAGCAGTGCCTCAGGCAATCCTTCACTTCGGTGACCAACAAATACATCGTCACATGATTATAACCCTTCTTCCTTTCTCCCCTTTCTTCAGATGTATCGCTGATTGCTTTGAAAGTGGTCATTTTCTTCTACACTGACAACAACAGACTTCAATCTAAACAGACAGCTCCCTTGACAACAAATGTTGGAAACGGAAATGTTAACATGACAAGAGATGCTCTCCAATGTAATGCCTCACCTTCGAAGGCCCAGCATTCAACCTCTTTCCCCCTAATTACCGATTTCAGTCGGGCTGAACCCAGACTTGATTGGCGCATGTTTGTGCAATTAAGTAGAGGAGCAGTTCTGCTTCCTCCGGGCTCATCAAAGACTACCTGTCGCAATGTCGAATAAACCAGCAGATTAAGTTAGACATCGCTTTAAACATAACCCGTAGCAATGTCACAATTGATCTATTAAATGCATCCTTAGGATGTACGTTTTCTAAAGATGCAAAGCAAAGTCACTGTCAGTGCAAGGATGTTGGAAAGTATACCACGTGGTTTCGATATAGTGTTTGGTTTATGGTATAGATTATGTTCCCTTTTCATTCTCCTACCAGGTCCAGCTATTTTGGGATGTTGTCCTGGGAGAACTAGATTTCTTGCTTGAATTAATTTTAATATGACTCCATGGAATTGCATAATCATAGTGACAGAGACTTTAGTTGAATGCTTAAGAGGAGAAATTTCCCTTCATTCCTGAAAAGCTCTGCCTTAGGAAATGTGATATAACTCTATAAGAATCTTGAAAGCTTTTAAAAAAAATATTGATCATGGCCCGGCCGGTGTGGCTCAGTGGTTGAGTGTCAACCTATGAACCAGGAGGTCATGGTTCGATCCCTACTAGAGGGCGTGCAGGAGGCAACCGATCCATGATTCTCTCTCATCATTGATGTTTCTATCTCTCTCCCTCTCCCTTCCTCTCTGAAATCAATACAAATCTATTTTAGGAAATATTGATCATGTGTTTCTTGGTGACATCTGGAAGAAATTTTTATACAAAGAGTGAAATTTTGACATTATCCTATGAATCGAGCACAAATAAAACAAAACCAACTCTTCTTACCTTTAGTCTTTACTATCGGTCTCTCGACCTCAGTGAGTTGGTCATCTCAGCAGGGTTGCTCAACTCCTACACAGTCTGCTTTGGTGTTGTTTCCTCGCCACAGAAGTTGTTTTACCAGACAGGTGTCCTGGCAAACCACCACCCTAATCATTCTCTGTAGTGTCCCAGCCTCTATGCTGACACTTTGACTCAAACTCTACGTTTTGCCAAATCTCCGCACCCTCTTAGACTTGCTGCCTCGGGTGGAGGGCCATTTAATTTTTCATTCAGGCTATGAACGTTGCCAATCCTAGCGGTGTCACACCTAATAAAACACCAGTTTGAAAATGCCATCGTGCCCATGAAACACACACACACACACACACACACACACACACACACGCACAACACCTACCTCTCTTGTAGAATAAGTTTGTTCTCCTTCTTCCAAAAGTCTTTAAAGTCAGAGCTGAATTCATGCCAGATACTGAAAAAGACATTCGGGGACACCTCCTTCTCTCCAAGTTTTGGTTTCATGAAGAAATAGGCTGTGGTCTCTAAAAACCTGTCAAGGCAGATACACACACAGAGCATAAGAGCTATGATTACTTTCCAATACGGGCTGCTCTTTCCCCGTCCAAAGGCTGATTTCATTCGTGCGCAGTCATTATGGCCAAGAGGACACAAACTCTCCAGGCCCCAACAGGAGTTCTCTTACGGGTCCATGTTAGAGTTTTGGACGCAGATGGGAGCAACTGACAAGAACCTTCCATACACTGAGAACTCTCCCTGGTCCAATTCTATTGTCCAAATGAATCACGATGTGTCCAACCTATTTCAGAAGTGAGCCTGTGGTCTAGTTGGGACGTCCTGGGAGTGGTGGGGTACACTTTCTTTCTACCCTCTGCCAAGGGTGGGGAACCTCTTTTCTGCCAAGGGCCACTGGAGGTTTATAATGTCATTCGAGGGCCATACAAAATGAGCAACCTGCTATATTTGGTCAAACATTTAATTAGTAAATCAAATGTTTGGCAGAGCCAGCCCAAGTGATTTTGCGGGCCTTACATGGCCCGTGGGCCGGACATTCCCCACCCCTGCATCCAAACAAATGAAGTATCAGTCATTTTGTCCCCAAACTAATATATGTATTATATACTATTTGGCTTCTACACTATTTGGCTCCCTGTATTGTTGGGAGAGGCGGGAAAAGCAAGAGTCCTAGGAGATGCTGACCAACTCTCCCATCAGTGAGTGGGACCCATCCGTGAGGGACAACAGACTAACTGTCTTCAGAAGGGGCCACTCAGCGGCTCTTCACAGAACAACCACATGAAGCTTAGAGGAGTTTCAAAAGGGTTATTTGACATATGGGAAGGGGCAATGGGTAGAAGTATAGATGAAACCAATGGATAACTGTTAAAGTTGGATGATGTGTACACAGTGGATCTTTGCACATTCTGTTTACCTTTGCACACGTTTTAAATTTCTCATAATAAAGAATTTGTTAAATTACAAATGCACACACACACACATAAGGTTAGTACAAAAAAGTAATGGCTATAAGCATCTTTTAAAATGGCATTCTAAAAATATTTTTAAAAGGCTAGGCTATTGCTCGAAAGAACTCGACTGGATATTGTTTGTGACTACAAGTTATGTTCCGCAGATAATTAAAATAGTTTTGATTTTTTTATTTCCTTATTTGAAAAGCGGACATACAACAAAATGAGAATCCTATTCTCTTAAGCTCCTCATCTGTTTTTAAGGCAGCCTTTGTCTGGGAACTGTACACATAAAGAATGACTCAAAACTTGGTTTTTATTACAGCCAAGAGAGGTCCCAGTTATTATCCTAAAATAGCATTTTCTTGCCACAAGTGATGATCTGTATGGAGAAGCATGTTCTCTGCAAATGAAATATTTTTAAAATATTGTATTGCCTGTTATTACTATCAATTACTTCCCATCTGTGAACAGGATGTAGCCTTGGTCAAGCACTAGAGAGAACCAGGCACCACAAATGGCAGGGCGAAGATAGAGAAAAATTCAACCTTGAGAATATCCCGCTAAGCGAAATAAGTCCGACAGCCCGCTAAGCGAAGTAAGTCAGACAGAAAAAGTTAAGAACCATATGATTTCACTCATATATGAGATATAAAACTGAAAGAAACATGAAATACAAAACTGAACATGAAATACAAAAAAAATTCACAGACACAGACAACAGCATGGTGGTTACCAAAGAGAAGGAGGTGGGGTACTAAAGGGTAAACGGGGCCAATTATATGGTGAGAGAAGAAGATTTGGCTCTAGGTGGTAGGCACACAACGCAATATATAGATGACATATCATAAAAATGTACTCTTGAAACCCATATAATCTTATTAATCCATGTCACCCAATGAATTTAATTTAAAAGGAACACACAGAAAAATGCAAATGCTATTCAATTACTTCCTTGAAGAGCATTTCTATTAGATTAACAAATACTAGCACAAGAGTCAAGGCACTGAACGAAGCAATTCGCCATGCTATGCCTCAGTTTACAGGCTTCTAGGCATTGACTGCTGCTCTCAGAACTGAATCACCATAAGAATAACCGCTCTGCTCTCAAGCATCTACTTCAAGAATGGTAAACCCTCCCGGCTGGTGTGGCTCAGTGGCTGAGCATTGACCTATGAACCAGGAGGTCATGGTTGGATCCCTGGTCAGGGCACCTGGGTTGTGGGCTGGATCCCCAGTGGGGGGCGTGCAGGAGGCAGCTGATCAATGATTCTCTCTCATCACTGATATTTCTCTCTCCTTCTCCCTCCCTCTCTGAAATCAATAAAAAATATATATATTTTAAAAAGAATGTAAACTCTTCCACGACAATGTTCAGATATGTATTCTTCAACAACCTGAAAGCATTGGATATTGTTTTTGACTACAAGTTATGAAACAGCATAAAAGAGGACTTATGGATGTGTAGCAAGTTGCTCCAGAAATGATCCTGGTTACAGAAAAAAAGAATGTACCCACTAAAGCAATCTGGGGTGAGTAACCTAAAGATGGGCTAATCTTCAGAAGCATCTGTATTATTACTTTACTTTTTATTGACTGTCGTCAAAGAGACTTTCCACTCCAAGTGGAGTAATAATACCTTCCCATCTTCCCCCACCGGCTTCTTGCTCCCCTCAATCTGGCCTTACAGGGTCTGACATTCGAATTCTATACTTTGTCCTTCATCTGAGTGGAATACTCTTCACTCAGGCATCCACCTGGCTGCCTCCCACCCCTTCAGATCTCTGCTCACACATCACTTCCTCAGCAAGATCTTCCACGAAGAGCCAGAGTGAAAACGCAACATAGATTCCCCGAATATTCCTGCTTGACTTTTCTCCACGGTACTCCCTGCTACCAGAAATTCTGGCCATCTGGTCTACTTGTTTACCGTTGGCCTTCCTCTGCTATAATCAATCCTCGACGAGGTGCTTTTATCTTTTATGTTGTCTGCTGCAGTCCCAGCACCCAAACAGTGTCTGGCACAGAGGAATTGTGGGATAAATATTTGCTTAAAGAATGATTTCTACTGAATAACTACACTAGACACTTCTGGGGACAAAACGTGTGGTTTTTAGGAACACTGTAGTGGAAGAAATCTGTTAGGCCTCTTAGCAGCCTGAGGTTTCAAGACAAGAGCTTTACATCGGAAGAGCCAAGATTTAGTTCTGGCCCTGCCCACAGCGGGCCTATGTGGACTTCATTCGCTTCGGTAAGTTTCATCTCCTCATTTCTAAAATGAGGACAAGGCTTCCTACTGATCAGATGAGTGTGAGGCTTAAAGGAGATAAGTGTGTAACGTGGTTCATGGCGTTGCCAGGCACATAAGACCCATAAGAGATGGTTCTTACTACTGCTCACCAGTGAAGGCGGCCTGAAAGCTTCGCCTTGAGCCTTCACGGTGAGTTCACAGAGTGTGAAAGGACCGGGCACTCTTTCTTCGCACAGAGAAATTGAAGAGGGTGAGTCCTTTCTCCTTTTCCCATATCCCCGCTTAATTATGAGACAACACAGAACCTCTATAAAAATTAAAACTGATGCCAACATGCCAGTCTCCTCGGGGCCAGCGGGCCAGCGCCAGCGTGGGTTAACCACCCTTCCCCTCTCCTCCCTACTCATCTACTCCGTTATCTCACTTGGCTCCGAAGAGAGTTTACAGTGACTCCAGCCAAGAGAATTCCTCTCACTTCGCTTATGGAGAAAGAAAAACATCTCCTTTTACCCTGGCGTCATAGAAGAGGCGGACGGTAACAAAGGGCTACATCCTTTATTCTTGACTCACCGTCCCCTGACTGTTTCATACTCCATGACATGTATTGCATACACATGAATACACACACACACACACACACACAGCTTCCTGGCACCTACTTAACAGACATATCACAGTCAACAGCGAAGCCAAGAGGTCTGCGGAAAGAAGTGAATCCATTGAATTCTACGCCCCCTTCCTCCCTCCGCCAGCACAGCCGCAGTTATCAGCAAAGCGAACGCCACCGCTCAGATGTGAGTTGTTGGAGGTTCTGTTGCATCTCCCAGCTCTGGTTCAGGCCACTCTGTCATTTCTCTCTAATGCTAATGGCAACAAGCCTTGGGACTCAAGTCTCCCTCCCTGACTCAGCTGCCAAGGGCCGTGCGGGCTATTTTGAGATATTGCTATATTTGGATTGGTGGGTGCCAGGGAAGGGTCTGATGAGGCTGGTTCGTATACAGACTCCATGATCTCAGGGGCCTTGCCGCAGGTCAGTCCTGCACCGGTCAGTCTAAGTGGGCCTGGGTGCCTTCCTGTTCCCTCTGCGATCATCCTTCCTTTCTTCTCAATGTCACCGTCCTTTTGGAGTTTAACAACTAAAAAATCAGGTACTAAATGAGAGGGTTTTTTAAAAAATATATTTCTATTGATTTCAGAGAGGAAGGGAGAGGGAGAGAGAGAGAGAAACATCAATGATGAGAGAGAATCACTGATCAGTTGCCTCCTGCACGCCCCCGACTGGGGCCTGAGCCCGCAACCCAGGCCGCAACCCAGGCATGTGCCCTTGACCAGAATCAAATCTGGGACCCTTCAGTCTGCAGGCTGACGGTCTATCCACTGAGCCAAACCAGCTAGGGCCTACATGAGAGTTTAGACACCCAGGAAGAATTACACACGTGTGAGGTAATTTAGCTCATATAGTCCGAACCGAGGACATAAAGCATCTCACTATGAAACAAGAAGCCAAGAGAGCATAACAGTTTCAATGAACTGCCCAGGGTCATCATCATAAATCTTCCCTTGCCTGTGCCATTTTTATTGTGCAATGTTGGGTTTTGTAATATTATTCTCCAGAACAAACTAAAGTCTCCAGAGAAAGCTCTATTTTCAGGGAAAGCCTTCCACAAATAGCCGCAATTTTGGGGGATCCTAAATCAACATCTTCACTTCCTCCTCCTTCCTCCACTCCCCCCCCCCATAGGAACTTACAGGAAATATAACATATTTTATTGCCCCAAAAGGAAGAATAAATCCATTTCGCTCATTATTAAA